GCCGGGGCTGTCCCGCGGCTGCGCGCTCCTGCTGCGGCTCGCTGTGACCGAGAGGATCCCGTCAGCTGCCCTCCGCGTCCCCTCCGGCAGCGCTGCCCTGGGGGGCTCCTTCCCGCACGGAAAGGGACTTTTCTCGGAGTGGCAAGGAGAGAAGGTGGCTAGCGAGGGAGGGGCGCTCGGCCACGAGCCGCCGTGCTCGCTGCGGAGGGGAACGTGGCTCCCCACGTACGCCGTGTTTCGGGGTGGGTGTTTGTTGGAGCTCTGTGTCCGCACGGCATCCCCAACGTCAGGCTGTAGTGGGACTCCTGGCACACAGACCCAGAGGCGTGAGCCAAGACCATGTGCTTCAGGGTTCAGAGGATTCAGAGGAGGTTCTGCTGATTCCTGTGCAGGATTTTGATAGCCCGTAGGGAAACATGGCCAGCGACACCGATACATCACATCCGTGATCTTGGTATCCTGAAGCAATGCCGCATTCCTTATTTGAACGGATAAAGATCATAAATGCAAAGGCCGCTGGTAGAGGAACAAGGCTGTACTGGCAAACCTCTGGTTGAAACTGCAAGTTGTATGTCCAAGCTCTTTCGTTGTTTAAGAAGCTGACAAAGTAGCCATGCAAATACAGGAGGAAGTGAGGAACCTTAACAGCTCCCCAAAGTCTCTCCTCCTGTGCTAGAGTACAGCTTAGTGCAAAGCTTCTGGTCTGTGCAGAGAGGTAATGGAAATGGAGATCCTGATCTCTGTGCTCTTTCTACAGAACTTCTCCTAAATTTTAAATGCTGTGTTTTTTTCTTCAGTACTAGAAGTGACTGCTGAATGTTTTAAAAATGAGGGGAAAACATTGCCTTATTAGTATATGGAAGTCTGTTTTTTAAGAAAACTGCATATTTGTAATGCATAGTTTTCCTCAAGAATCTTTCAAAGGTTCTGACTGTCTCCCTCCCTCCCTGTCCTTCTCGTGCTGTTTCCAGGTCCGGATTGTTTTGTCTCCCGTCTTCCCCACCGAAGCAGGAGGAGCCTCCTGCTAACGCCGGCGCTCCCTGGGTTGCTGGCGACCGGGATCCTGCGCCAGGCGAGGCCGCGTCGCAGCCCCCCGTGGAGAAGCCTCCGAAAGGAAGCGCCGAGGAGCAAGTGCCGCCCCTTCTGCCGCCCCGCCCCCGCCCCGCCCCCCCCCCCCCCTCCCCGCCGTATTTCGAGGGGGCTCCTTTTCCTCGGCCCCTGTGGCTTCGGCACACGTATAACCAGTGGGTTCCTCAGCCGCCGCCGCGGACTATAAAGAGGACAAGGAGGCGTTTGTCACGGAATAGAGACCCGGGAAGGCTGATCATGAGCACTATCAGACTACGGCCAAGGCAGGTGCTCTGTGAGAAGTGCAAAAACACGCTGAACCCCGAGGACGCAAACGCAGCGAGGCAGAATGCGAAAACGAGGAGGAAACTGAGCGTTCAGGACAAGGAGCAGAAAAAGCACAGTGACTCTGACTACACGGAGAAAAGAAACAAAAGAGAAAAGAGAGAGGAAGACAAGTTTTCTGGGGAACTAGTGCATCGAACTCCAGTTATAAAAATATCCTACAGTACTCCACAAGGGAAAGGTGAAGTTGTGAAAATTCCGTCACGCGTTCATGGCTCAGTCAAACCGTTTTGTGCCCAGCGAATATTGCAGAATGGAGAGGAGGACCAAGAGGAGACTAGAGACTCTGAGCAGTGTCAAGAAACCGAATGTTTAATAGACAAGTCAGCAGGCAGCCAGCTTGCTTCCATTCCAAAACTGAAGCTCACCCGGCCTGTGCATTCCAGTGCAGATGTTCCACCTCCAAAGATCCGACTGAAGCCCCATCGAATAAATGATGGTCAGAATGTTTCAATTTATAAAGCAGAACTCATTGATGAGATAAATGTCCTTCAGAACAGCAGGGAGTCCAATCCTGGTGCATTTTACAATGACGAATCTACAGACAGGAGTTTAGCTGAGATATCTTCAGGGAGTTCAGGGGAAGATGATGACTTTAAAAGATTTCCCCAAGGTAAAGATGGACATGATAACTTGGCGTTCCTTATGAATTATCGTAAAAGAAAAGCAGATTCTTCTAGTTTGTCTGTGTGTAGTAATGACAGTCTAGATGAATCCAAGTCTTCTAGTTCAGAAATAACATCACCAGAAATGTGTGACTTCATACCTGGTGATGATGCGTCTGTCTCTTCGTCTTCAAAAGATGAGCGTAAGATTGTGCCACCATTAACAGTTAGACTACATACGCAAAGTGTGTCTAAATGTGTCACTGAAGACGGAAGAACTGTTTCGGTGGGGGATATTGTTTGGGGTAAAATTCACGGTTTTCCGTGGTGGCCTGCACGTGTTCTTGACATAAACCTTAGCCAGAAGGAAAATGGGGAACCTTCATGGCGAGAAGCTAAAGTATCATGGTTTGGTTCTCCAACGACTTCATTGTTATCTGTTTCAAAACTCTCTCCTTTCTCTGAATTTTTCAAACTGAGATTTAATCGCAAGAAGAAGGGGATGTATCGGAAAGCTATCACAGAAGCTGCAAAGGCAGTAGAGCATCTGACTCCAGAGATAAGAGATCTCTTAACACAGTTTGAAACATAACTTTGCCTCTGGTATCAGGTGAGTGCTTGTTGGACTAATGCCTCCCATGGAAAACCTCTTTTGTGTTTTAACCTGCATTCACAGTTTGTTTGCGTTTATCCTTAAAGGCTGAGGTTGAAACTTGTTAAACTTAAATGCATGGGTGTGAGATGGTGGTGGTGATTTCATAGGTGATGATTGCCTGTAGTTTGAAACTTTAGGAAGACCCATGGGAGCTGGAGCCCCAGATCTCATAGGGGACTACAAAGAAATACACTGGAGGGTGTTTCCTATGGGTTCCTGCTTGAAGAGCTAATAAAATTAGTCATGTATTAGAGCCATTTATAGCTAGCATATGGTGAGTATTGATGCATCATTGGGCTAAAACTAATGCGTTTGGAGAGCTAAAAGCTCCTACACCTTCAATTTCTTTGCAGTTGTTTCGGTTCAAAGAACTACAATACATTCTTGATTCCAAGAAGAGTTCGTCTCAGTCGTGTACCAATACCAAGCAAGTAACAGTCAGAAATGCCTTCGGAGGCCCCTGTCTCCTTGTGCTTTCACGTGAAGACAGTTTCTTCAGAGTTAACATAGCAAACCCTGTCTCTGACCACCAGATGATATTTGAACGTTCTCGCTGCACTTGGGCTCACAGCTGCATGTGCTCGGGTGGTGCTTGGCCGAGCAGATCACGAGGAGCCGTTCCCAGGGCTCGCGGGCGCAGAGCGGGGCAGGCGCCAGCACGGGAGCAGGTTCTTGGTAACGCCTCTGCGAGTGTTCTGCTGTTACTGCTTGCAAGGGTGGAGGGCATGGAGTTAGGGAGCTCGTGCTCTTAGTCACTTCAAGCAGTTAAACATTTGTCCAGCATGAATATTTGGTGCGGTGTGACTGGAAGTGGCATTGCCAGCTGCACTTTGTCGATGCTTCCTACTGCGCTGCTCTCAGTGAAGGCCACGAGGAAAGCTCCCAGGGGCGCAAAGAAGACCGAGGCCTGTTCCACAGCCTGTTCCACAGCCTCCCAGTGGTGGCTGTCAGAGTAAACAAGATTTATCTGTGATACTGTTAAACAAGGGGATGGATTAATCATGAAAACTATGACTAACCATCACAAAAAGTTTTGCTAACGGAATACTGGCTTTCTACACTGTGTCCTGTAGTAACATGTAGGTTCTTTGTTGTCCCTTTAATTTTTCCCCTTTTTTAATGCTGGAAAGGCACTGTGAACATACAGAGGCCAGGGCTATTCCTGCTATAGATGCGTGAGTTCAGCTTAATTCTTGTTAAAGTCTTTAATGCATCAAGAGGATTTGGGGCCTGACACGGGTTGTATCTGGTCCACAGACACAGGGCAGCAGGGGTGTAAGGAGTTCTTTAAACCAGGAGAAAGAAGAAAATGTTGAGAACGGTAAGAAAATTACAGCAGGGCATGGATTAAGGCCAGACCTTTCCTCATTTCTGGACTTGTCAAGCAAATCTCTCTGATTTACATGGGTGTAGAGATATATTTAACTTGGTGTCACCGTTTTACTGGCCTCCTTCAGCTGTCTTTCTGAGGATGAGTCCTTGCTTTAAATATCTGAGGTGAGCTGCCAACCCGGTCCACCTGGCTGCTCCTGGAGATCGCCCGGTAATTGGATAAGCAGCTGCAGTTACTCAGAGGAGAAGCAGGAAGGCAGAGCGGCTCCGCGTTCTGCGCGTCACGCTCTCCGGTTCCCTTTGAGACCAGCGTGTTTTGGTGCGTGCCACTTACAAAGCAACTCTCCGTTGCTGAGATCTGCCCTGTATCTAAGGCTCTCCTTTCAGGGGCATTTAATTTTGTTGCGTTCCTTGAATTTTCCCAAGGTGGGACTGAAGCAGTCCTCTTGGCTGCTAACTGACTGCCCTTTCCTGGAGGGTCTAACTTTAGTTGTCACTGATGTTTGCGATTCCTCGTGCTAGAACCACGGCGAGGATGGAGCTACCACAAAGCACGCGAGGTGCTGAGGCGTTGCGGGCAGCGCGGCGTCGCAGGGCT